GGGACAGGTCCAGGGCCACAAGAGGGACTTGAGCCTCTCCGGGGGGTGAGGTGGGAGCTGGAGAGGGTGTCAGCAGGGCAATGACGTGACCTGGTTTGTGTTTTGAAAAAACTACCATGTAGAAGCACGTCGCTGGGGAGGCCAGCTGGCAGGCTCCTGTGCCGGTCCCAGCAAGAGGCTGGCGGTCTGGCCCAGGCTGGAGCCCTGGAGGGGTGGGCAGGGGGCTTCCAGGCTCTGCTCACGTCTAGAACGTGGAGCGTGATGCTGAGATTTGGAGCCTTTTGCTGAGGTGAGGAAAATTACGGAAGGAACAGAGTGGTCTCAGGGAAAGACAGGGCTTAACAGACATTCAGGAAAACCGTGGCTTCGTGGTCTGAGTTCAGACCACGAGGCCTGGCAGGGTCGAGCATGCAGGTCCTGGATGTGTCCCTGGCCTGAGCCTGAGGTACTCCAGGCCCAGAGGATGGCGGACAGCAGCTGTCACATCTGGGTGGCCCTCCTCCTGTCACAGTCAGTGGAGAAGGGCTCTGGGCTGGCGGACAGTGAGGAGCAGCCGGCGCCTCTCCCCTTCGTGGTTTCTCTCAATGACGTCCATTGCCCTGGACGTGGCTGCGGCTGCTCGGTATCACTTGCATGTGGAGGGTACAGGGGGCAAAGGCCAGAGGTTGCTGGGACCCTCCACTCCCCTCCCTGACCAGGCAGAAGCTTGCAGAGTGAGCGCTGGGGCCAGGGGCAGGCCCACAGGGGCGGGACAAGAACCTGGCATTCTATGGAGATGGAGAGCCCAGAAGTCCCCGGGGGGCCCAGGACCACCACCCAAACCTGCTCAGCAGCCCTGTGGCCCAGCGCGGGGCACGAGGAGGAAGTGGACGCAGAGCCACTGCAGGGACGAGCCGAGTAATCGCAGCCGTGTGCCGTGTGGGCCCCCGGCGTGTGTGCCAGCATAGAGCTAGCGGAAGCTCCAGGCTCCAGCGTGTCCTGCCCCACACCTGGACCCCCCACCTCCCTGTAGCTCAGCTTGGGGCCTGCTGTTCAATATTTTGAGTCAGGCCCCTGAAAACAGTTCAGTGACTGTTGATCCAGGACAGTCTGCAAACAAGAGGGCCCAGGGACCTTCGCCCTGTGACCCTACAGAGGGCCCTAAGCTCTCCCGAGAGGAGGCCCCACCCCGCCTTTAGACCCGGACCCACAGGGACCCCAGGGGCACCACAAGCTGCCCCCCCAGGATCAGGGGGCTCCCTCCCCTCGAGCTCCAAGTCTTGTGTCACCCTCTCTGGCCGACGCCAGCCAGTGTGGCGAGACAGCCCGTGGCACGCACGCGGCCAGGGCCGCCAGCGGGTCCAGAGCTGGGATCAAGGCCCAGCAGGTTCTGCAAAAATTTCCCTTGAAAGACTCTTTTTCAAGATTTTCTTTTGAAAACAAATTCATAACCACATCAAACAGGAACCCCGTCGCCTCGCTCGCCGGCCGCCCGGGCTGTGACTAGCTGTTATTCTAATTGCTTTTTTTCTCTTCCGAGGGCCGCAGAAGCTGTTTTAGGATTATTAATTTGGTGAGTTGAGGCAGGGCACAAGGGAGCTTTTGTTGGCCTTGCACTTTCAGTCACTATCAAATTGCAAATAATGACGAGATTGCAGGTCCCCAAAACTGATCTGCCCCAGCGGCTCCTGGGGAACGAGTCCCCCGGCCCCCAGCGGGCACTTCCCTCCCCCGAGGGTGGTGGCGCCTCCCCTGGGCACCTGCCGGGAAGGACGCACCTCCCTGCGCCTGGTGTTTGGCCAAGGCCTCTCCCTCAGCCCATTGATGTGCCCCTTGGACATCAAAAATGTGAGGAAGATAAAGACACTCTGTGTTCAGGGCCCAGGAGGAAGGACACAGGCTAAGGCGGCTCAAGGACCATTTCTCTGACACATGATGGAGCTGAACCCCAGAGGCCAAGGAGGAGCCGCCCGCTGGGCCCAGGGCCCTCCCAGCAGAGGAGCCAGCAGGGCAGCCCGTAGGCCTGAGCCAAGGAGCCCCCGCCAAGGGGCTACTCTAGGAGCCCCAGGACCACCCCGATGCCCCACCCCAGAGGACAGGAGTGTCCCATGCATGTCATGCTCACCCAGCCCCTGCGGGATCCTGTCCATACTGTCTTGCTCCATCCTCGAGACAACCCAGTGAGGGAGGAGCAGATTCCCCCACTTTCCAGTGGGGAGAGTGCAGGGGCCAGGTCTCAGGCCACCCTGAGCACAACTCATCCACAGGGCAATGCAGTCCACTATGGACATGGGCAGAGGCCCGCGTGTGCTGGGCAGAGGCCACAACAGGGCCCTGGGGGCTGAGCATGGAGCCCAAAGCCAGCAAGTAAGCAGCAGGGAGCCCTCGGAGGGTGTGTGGCTCCGAAGCCAGCCACCAAGCTCCAGGAGGGGGGCCTAGCTCAGGGGGTGGGGGGCTGGTAGAGCTTGGCCCACCCACTGCCCACCATACCTCCTGCCCACCCCCGAGTAGGGATTGTCACCCCAAGGTGGCCCAGGACTGAGCCCCTTCTCCAGCCATGCCCAGAGGCTCCCACCCCTTCCACCATCCCACCACGCTTCCCTTCCCTTTCGTCCCAGGAAGCCCCTATAAACGCTTCCATACCCACTTGCACATCTGGGGGCTTCCACAGATGTTCAAGTGCCGTAAAGTGAAAATTTATGAAACCACAGATTTTCTTCTGTAACGTATTTGGTGCTTTCAATTGAAGCCAAACCAACAGTTGCCCAAGCCAGGGCCTGCACAGGTGAGCGACGGGAAGCCATGCCTGGACCAGCCTTGCTCAAGGCTATGGTGTGCCGGGCCTGGGGAGCCCAGGCGGCGCCCCCACAGGCCTCCCCGGGCATGAGCGGGCGGTGGAACTGAGGGGGTCAGTCCTGCTGCAGCGGGAGCCCCAGGGGTCTTGGGCCAGGGAGAGGCATGGGGTTTGGGTGTGACGGGGACGAGTCCACCTCCTCCCCGACAGTGTTCCCTCAGCCTTCTGAGCTCAGCTCTGATCCTTGATCTCGCCCCACCCCGGAAGGCCTGCTTCAGCCCCTGTGGGCGCCACCCTCCCACCTGACACCGTGTCTTCTCAGCATGGAACCTGGGGGTGGGGGTCTGCAGGGGTGAGAAGGGAGATGCAGGGGGTTCCAGCCAGTGACCTTGAGCAAGACCCTTCTCCTCCTGGGGCCTCAGGGTCTGCGTGTGTCGGGTGGACTTAGGCTTCAGTCGGTGGTCTCCAAAGGGCTCTGCAGAGGACAAGGGTGTCGGGCAGGCATCGGCAGCGGGTGGCGAGTGGAGTGAGTGGCCCCAGGCCCTACCCTGCCGGAACCAGTGAAGTCCTGTGCCCCTTCCCTTTATAGCCTGGGCTCCTGCATGATGGCACCTTGGATGCGCAGCTGGCCCTCAGCCTGGGCTGGGAGGGTCTCAGACTGTGCTGGGCCTCAGCTGAGAGCTGGGTCTCTGCCTCCCGGAGAGGGCACAGCCTCGTCCTACCCCATGCCGCAGGGTCTCTGGTGGAAGGGCTCCCCAGCTCCTCAGGAGAGACCTCCTTTCACCTCCTCGCCCTGTGGTTCAGCGTCCACGGGTGGGAGGGTTGGTGACTGCCACACCGACCTCTGAAGCAGGCCTGGGCCTGCGTGGGGACCCAGCTACTGGGCCTCCAGCCCACACAGGGTTTGCGGCTGCTTCACCCAACAGCATCTTCCTCAGGGCCATCCTGCCCCGCCAGCATCCCAGCTCCCCCTGGTCCTGGGAGAGGGACGCTGTGGCCAGGAGAGGGGCCCAGGTGGGTCCAGGGGACAGGCTGGCCTAGGACGGCCTGGAGCACCGACATCACGCACCACATGTATGTGTCCAGCTGGGTGGACGGCGGCAGCCAGCTCTGCCTGCTGCTGTCCTCAGCCCCAGCAGTTGACACTTGGCAGAGCCATCCTTGTGGCTTTTACCCTCAAGCCACACTCTCCCCGCAAGCAGCTCTGCATTCTTGTGGCTCGGCCCCTATAGGGTGACCATCTGGCCCCTCCACTCCCTCCACTGCCATTTCTAGTCTTTCTGGTGTTCCAGGTGCCCGGCGGGGGGAGGGCCTGCGTTCTTCTCTGATGGAGCACCCTGTGGGCCGCGGTGTGAGCGCAGACCCCGGCTCACGCCGGACCACAGGCCCACGGCTCTCTGGCTCAGCACTTCCTCCTGGCCCACCTTCTAGGGGAGGGGGCCCCTCAGACAGCACTGGATTCACAGCCCCCCACCCTCCCTCCTCTTTCCTGGCCTAGCTCTGCTTCCCCCCGTCTGGCTCTGAGGGCTCCGCAGGCCTCCTCCCACCCTGGGCCCCCTTTAGCCCCTGCCCCTCCTGGCCACGCAGAGGCCTCTGTGAGCCCCTGCTGTGCCTGGTGCATCCTGCCTCTGCCTCCCCACCAGCTTCACCGGGTGGCCGCATAATGTCCAACGTGGGTGACCCCAGTGCTCAGCACAGGACAGGCCTTTGATGCCCACGTGGCCAGGTCATGTGGTGGAGCGAGCGCCTTGGGGTCCTGGCCTGACCCCTGCTGCACACAGAGCCCTGGTTTGCCAGCTTGCTGGGAGGATGCTGGTGCCCATGGGTGGGGGAAGGGGCACCTGCCAGGATGACAGGAGCACAGGCCCTGTAGGTGTTGGGGGAGCAGAGGGGAGGCCTGGCCCTGGGACTCACGAGCCCTTCCCAGGAGGAGTGACCCGCTCTGGTCTCCAGGTCTCAGGTGAGGACTGCAGAGAATGGGCTCCTTCCAACTACGTGTCTACACGTGTGCAGACACACACGGGGCCACGTGCACCTGCGGACACCCGCATGCACACACAGGCACGCCCAGGCCCGTGTGCAGCCCACATCTGCAGGGACACTTGGACACGTGGACGTGCGGGCCGTGCACGTCCCGCCCTCACCCCTCGCTGAGCCCAGGCCCTGAGGCCCCTGAACGCCTGGGCTGCCCCCGCCACCTGACTCAGCTCTGCTCTTGTCCCCGCAGGTGACGCAGCTGGACCAGAGGCTGGTGCTCATCACAGACATGCTGCACCAGCTGCTCTCCTTGCACCACGGCAGCCCCCCGGGCGGCCGTCCCCCCAGCGGGGACGAGGCCCAAGTGGTCCAGCCCTGTGGTGGCGGCTCCATCAACCCCGAGCTCTTCCTGCCCAGCAACGCCCTGCCCACCTACGAACAGCTGACCGTGCCCCACAGGGGCCCTGACGAGGGGTCCTGAGGGGCCCAGGGCAAGAGGGGAGGTCCACCCCACCTCCCACTCGGCAGGGGCACCCATGGAGCCACAGCCACCTCCTTGAAGGCCCGAGAGAGCAGCCCCTCTCTCCCTGGCCCTGGCCCCCCAGTGGGCCGTGCCACCCCTCGAGCCTGAGCTGGGGGTTCACCAAGGCCGCCTCTTCCCGGCCAGCAGGTACTAGAACTTGGCTGGGTGAGGGGCCCCTCTCAGCTCTGATGCTGTGCCCCTCCCCCATCGCTTGTGTGGTTGGGACACAGTGGCAGGGGGTCTGGCTGGCCCCCCGCAGGGCTGGACATCCCGGGCACTTAGTCTGTCCCACGTATGGCCAGGAAGCAGCATAGATGAATGCAGGCCCCCCTGGTAGGCCCCAGGGGGCTTCCTGAGGGGAGAGAGAGGGACAGCCTGGACAGGGTCTGTGGGTACCCCACCCCCAGCCTCAAATCCAGGACTCAGGTGGACCCGGGGAGGAAGCCAGCAGGGCAGGGCGGGCCCAGCCCATGACGAATAAGGACACAGGACCCAGGCCCACGAGCCCCCCTCCGAGGGTCCAGGCCTGGGCCTCCTCCCTCCGTCTCCAGAGATGATGACTCGATTGACCCCGGGCTGTGAGGGGAGCTGATCCTGAGGCCACAGCTTCCAGCAGGAGGGACAAGGCCCACCGCTGGCCCCTGACTGCTTCACTGGGGGTGGAATGTCCCCCAGTTGGACTGGCAGCTTCTCCTACCCGTGCTGGAGAGAAGAGGAAGGCCCCCTCCGACCTGGCGCTGTGTGCAGCCCCTACCTCCAGCTCCCTGCCTGGTCCGAGTGGCTGGACAGACACACAGAACTGTCCCCTCACCTGACCAGCTGCTGTGCCGTGAGGGAGCCCAAGGGTGTCACAGCCTCTCCACAGGGCGGGGGCTGCTGGGCATTACATCTCGCAGAAATCAGAATAATTTGTGGCGATTTGGAATCTGTTTTAATGAGCTTCACAGTGTGATTTTGATTGATTGTGCTGGCTTTTCCTAATAAACGCGGAGAGCCGCGGACTTGATTAGACGCCGCCCTCGCCTTGATTCTTAGGGAGCCGTCCATCTTTGGGACAACCCTGTCCTCCCATGGAGTCACCACCCGTCCTGCCCCGGTGAGGGAGGAGGCCCAGGAGCCCCCTGCCCACTGGCCTGGGGGTTCTAGAAGCAGGATCCCCGAGGAGGCCGGGCATCTTGAGGCAGGGCCATTCCTGTCCCCGTAGCCAGCACCAAGGTCAGGCTCCAACCACATGAACTGAGCGGAAGTAAAGGATGTCCCCAGGACCTCGGGGCAGACCAGAAACATGGCCCCCCACCCCCCAGCCTTTGCTCTTGCTGATGCCTTTGCTGGAACGTTCTTCCCGTCCTCCTCTCCATCTGATGAAATCACTGCCTGGTCTGCAGCCTAGCTCAAAGCCCCCTCCTGAAGCAAGCTCTCCCTAATAGCCCCTCGTGAGAAGCAGGCCCCTTGGGCCTTGTGACCCCTCAAGGGGGCAGGGATGAGCCGGTGGGGTCATCACCCCAGACAAGCAACGGAGACAGGACTCAAGGACCCTGACCTCGGTGCCCACATCCCTCCGCCAGCTGCACTCCGGGCCCCACCCTCACTTCCTGGGCGGCGGGGGTCCTTGTACACAGGACAGCGCCCTGCCCTCCCCTGCCCATCTCACACTGCTGCCCACTGGCATCTGAGCCCCCACCTCCTCCAGCCCAGCTCCCTTCCCCACAGGCCCTGCCTGGAGCCCTCTGCGACCTCCCTCGTGTACAGGACCCCTGCGCTCCCCTTCGAGGTGGTTGCCCAGGTGGCTGATAAACAGGAGCTCATGGTTCTTTTCACAGAGTAGAGGTCCAGGGTTCAAAGAGGTCAGAGAGGCTGCGGGATCTGGCCAAAGGCTCCAGCCCAGGCCAGCATCCCTCCTGATCAGGGCTCTGGCGGCCTCAGGGCTTCCCCCTAGGGTGGCCCTGGCCACCTGGTATGGTCAAGATGTGGTCACTGCCTGTCTCCCAGCAGCCCCTGGGCCTCTGGGGCAGGCAGGTACCTCTCCGGGCCCAGCACTCTGTCCAGGGCCTGGCCTGGCTGGGGCTGTGGGAGCCAGGGCTACAGTTCACCCCACTGGGCAGCCACCTTAGGAGACACACTCGGGCCTCTCCATTTGCCCCTCCCAGGCCCAGCTGGCCCTATCTGAGGACCCGCGAGCCCCATCATGGGAGTGGAGCCCATCCGGGCCCACCCTCCAGGGATTCTTAAGGAGCTCGAGGCACCCAGACTGGATCCTGACTGGGGTGGGGTGCAGGGAAGGGCCGGGGTTCTGGGACTCCCACACAGGCATGCCTGCCCCCCGCTAGGCCTCAGTTTCCCCGTCAGTAACACAGTGCTCCTTGGGCCAATCCAGCTCCCAGCAGGCTGGAGGTATATGCCGGGTGGGTGCCACCCCTCCCTCACCCTGCCACGTGGGCACCCTCACTCTGCCCATGGCTCTCCACACGGCCCCTGCACTCCAGCTCACAGGTGCAGACACGTTCAGCCAGTTGGGGGGTGGGTCCACTGTACCCGCTTTTTGACTGTTTCTCCACCCTCTGGGACTGCTGCCTTCCTGTCCTCCTTCCAGAGCCCACCCCAAATTCCCTGGCCATCAAGGCTGGGGGCATCTGAGATTTCTGAGGATGGGGCCCTCCCAAGGCCACCAGAAGCAGCGGGTAGCCAGTGTGAGGACAGAGGATCCAGGTTTCCATGTGGCATGGAAGCTTGGGCCCCTGTAAGGGGGAGGGCCCTGGGTCCCACTGTGCTAAGGCCCACTGGTCTGTGCCTCCCCTGGAGCCCAGCCCTGGCTCCCACCGTGGGGACTTGGCGTCTGCCCGGCACTGGCCAGTGCAGGGAGGGGAGGAGGGGCTGCACCCACCGGGGGAGGGGCGGGAGCAACAATTACTGGAAAGGCAAAAGCTGTTGTTTCCTTGTTGGGTAAATATTTGTGGAAACCCCAGGAAGCGGCTGGCTGGAGAGCAGGGCCCTCCACGACGCCCCCAGCCCGGCAGCCCCGGCCCCGGCCCTGGCCCTGCGGCACCCAGCAGCCGCCCATCTGGGCAGGGCGCGGCCCCTGTGCCCAATGCGCCCTGCTCCCTGTGTCCCTGAGCGTGCACCAAGTGCCCGCGCCGGCGCCCCTGGACGGGCCGTTGCAGCCCTCTCGGGTGTGAAATGCAATTTACCTGAAATAAAGCCCAATTATGGAATTAGCTAATTAAAGCCCGCGGTGGAGGCTGGGCCCGGCCGGCCGGGCGCTCAATGCCCGCCCAGTGCCCGTGGTCTGAGGGAGCAGATGGCGCCCCGGCCCGCCGCGCCGGCCGCATTCCTTCACTCTGTCCCCCGATAACTGACTTGGACAGCACACGGCCATCTGGTGTAGGACACGTCCTGTGTGCCCCGGACAATGGCCCAGCAGACCTCTCCGGGAGAGGGCCGTCGCCTGGGCAACGGCGGCATGTGCAGCCCAGGCCCGTTCCCGCCCCTCCCCCGCCCTTTGTGGGCCTCGCCTCGGCTGCCCGGCTGCTCGCGCCGACCACGTCCATGAGTATTTGTCCACAGCGCCCGGCCTTTGTCTCCAGGTTGGGCTCCCTTATTGAGGTCCTCGGTGTCCATTGGGTGCCGGGAGCATCTGCTGGGAGCACAGGGTGGGGGGGGCTGGGGGGCAGTCCTGCTGCCCGCTTCCTTGGGCACCCACCTCCTCTGCCCATGTCCCCCTCCCCCGCCGGTGCGCCCCTGAGCCAGCGGACGGATAGCACCTCTCCAGTGCTGGGCCTGGCCACGGGGCGAGTCTCTGAAGCCAGTGTCAGCCCAACCTGAGGTTCTCCTGACCTTTGGGCCAGGGGCCAGGAGACGAAGGGCAGGGCAGTACTGCACGGCCACCCCTTCCCTGGTCTGCGAGATGAGGGACAGTGAAAGTGCCCTCGAGGGGGTGGGGCTGACAGAGAGAAGACATGCAAACTCTGGGCCCAGGTCTGGCACACAGTAGGTGCTTAGTAAAGGCAGCCTGGACCGTGTGACCCCTCAGAGAGACTTCCCGTCCCCTCCTGCGTCCAGCCTCACCCCCCAGACCCTCTTGGAGCCAAAGCCAGCTATCCACACCCCCAGCTGGCTGCTCGCCATCCTGCACCTAAGCGGCCCCGGCCCCCACTGCCCCCGCCCAGGCCTGCCTTGAGGCCCTGGGAGCAGCAGCCACCCCTCATCTGGAGCCCCCAGGGCTGCGGCTGGACTGAACCCCTCATGGCTTCTCCCGGCACCCTGTGTCAGGCCCCAGGCTGCCAGCAGGCACAGCCTCTGTCCCTTCGGGTCCATCTGGGCAGGTAGTCCTCCCACTGGGCAGGGGTCTGTGCCGGGACCGTTAGGCCCCAAGGGGAGCCGGAGCCCAGAAGCACCTGGCCCAGGGCCTGGCCCCCCTTGCATCCAGGGAGTGAGTTAAGTTACAGACCAACATGAGGGTTTGGGAAGAGGCCGCCAGCACTACGGGGGCTGCACCGCAGTGGGGCACCACCGAACACTGCCATCCCAGGGGTGCTCAGGGGAGGGGCCTGCCACCTGTGCCCTGAAGGAGGGGATCAGGTAGACATTTCGACTGGGGAGGCCGGACAGCTAGAGTGGGAGGTGGGGGTGGCAAAAGGCACACGCGGGCCAAGGCTCCCGGGACGGCCCCACACGCAGCGGCCACCCCATGGGGATCTGCTGGGTCACCTGCAGGGACCTCTCTTCCCAGCGTGTAGCCAGTCTCTGGTTTGGGGGGCCCTTCCCAGCTCCCAAAGCCTGCCTTCCCCCACGCCTTGTCTGTATCCAAGGACCACCCTCGGGGCCCTGAACCCTGTCAGCTCACTGGGGGTCTGAAAGGGTGTCTCTGCGTCACCATTCTCAGCCCCCAACGGCACCCCCCTCGTGACTCATGCCTTAGCCTCGTGGTCCCTGAGAGCTGGTGGGCTGAGGAGATTGGCCCAACCTGGGTCAGCCAGGGCCTTGAGCAGCCGGGCCGGGAGCCTGCTCAGGGCAGCCAGAGCTGAACAAACCGAGCATCAGTTTCCACTGAGCTTTGAGAGCTGGGGGCCGGACCCCTCTGGAAGCTGAGCCCCAACCCGGGCTCTTTCCAACCACATTGTGCATCGGAGCCTGGGCTGGCAGCTGAGAGAGCCCCGTGGCCAGACGACGCCAGAGCCCACGGGCAGGTGACCTCTGACCTCACCGGCCAGCTGCTGCTTTTTCACCTGCTCAAGGAGGGCGTTGCCTCCAGTTCCAGCAGGCTGGACCTGGGCAGAGGGTGTGGGGGGGACTGTCAGCACTGGCATGAAGAGGGGCTTCTCTAAAGATGGGGTCTTGGCCACCACCCTGCCCATCCCAAGGCCTCTGAGGCCAAGGCACCAGCCCCTCCCTGCCCAGACCTCAGGTGTTAGTTGTGTGGTACAGGGTGGGGGTCCACTCTGAGCCCCAGATCCTTTTCTCTCAGCAGGTCCTTCTGTGACCTCCCAGGCCTGATTCTGTCATTTGACCCTCTCCTCAGCACCAGGGGTGCCAGGGGGATGCATGGGGCCTCCCTAGATCCCCACCTCCTCCCACAGCCCCCAGCACCCAAGGCACCTTAGCCAGGCAGAAGGTGGAAGAGGAGGAGAGCTCAGCCTGGGGCAGACCTACTGGACACCAGAGAACGCTCAGACCCCCTCTCCCCTCCCCTCGCCCTTCAGACTCCCACCCAAGCCTTCATCCCAGTGCCTGCCCCTGAGGTACCGAGAGAGGCAGGTCTGCCCTTAATTCCCAGAGCCACGCCGTCCCACCCCCTCACCTGCTCCCAGACTTAGGGTTTGCACACATCCAGGTAGTGACCCCTCAGCCTGAGAACGTCCAGAGCCAGCCCAGGACTGAGCAACAGGGTCCATCCTAGTGCCCATCGTGGGCCTGGCACACCAGCTCCTCTGCTTCCTGGTGGCAGGGGTGGGGGTGTTGAGCCTCGTCACTTGGACGCCATGGTGACTCCCACCTGCCCACAACTCTGGG